TAATTTGCATTTTCCAAGGACTCTCTAACTTTGAATGTCAACAAACTTTGGCATCCATTTGCTTGGTAATTTTTCCTGTAGTAAAAAAAAAAGAAGCTCAGTAGGCTTAAGCAGTTGAGGAGCTTGCTGATGACGCGTATGGATAATCTCAAAGACAGAATGTTGTCAATTTTAGAGCAGTCATTTTTTTTTAGAATCAAAAGTTGTAATGACATACTCTAAGTAAGTTGGTAGATATTTTATTCAGTATTTAAGGTCATTGGCCCACATCACATGATTATTCATATCCATTTATTTCTGTTTCCTCTCTTTTTTTCCTTTGCCACTTCATAATGGTCTCAGTTTTATGGAGAACAATAGAAAAAAGTTTTCCTTTGCAACTTTTTGTAGAACTGAGGGTAGCTAAGTCTGCTAGTGAACTCCATGACCATATTATGTGCATTCTGGGGCTGCTATGGGCCACTTTAAAAAAAGCAGCATAATTTCATTACTTTTACTGTTTTCTATATTTCTAAAACTTAAGCAGGCAGGCAGTAATTTGCATACTTTGAAGTATACACATGTATGTTTCATATTTGCATATTATTATATAATGATTGGAAATGTGCCACAACATTGTTGCTTGTCTGCTGCCGGTCAGACATATGTGTCTACTAGAGTTGAAGTTACCTCTGTTTTGTCAAAGCACCTCATTCACCACGGTTTAGCTTCAGAAAGTTATTACAGGCACCTCGAAAGTTTAAGTACATTTGAAATTGATGGTCACCCCTTGTTGAGGAAAATAATTGTTGTCCTATACAATTAGGTATTTTTGGACGGCACCATTATGGTAGGTGAAATCAGGCACTCGTAAGATAGTGAATTTGAAGAAGACGGACACTTTTTATTGAATTTTTGTCTTTTGTCTCAACACCTTTTTATTTCCATTTAAAACACATTTCTATGTGGATTTTTATGGAAAAACAGGGATGAAAACTAAATTAAAAGTGGGAGAGTCCGCGATCTGTGAATGTGGACACGACCAAGAGGATGCCAACCATATCCTGCAGCACTGCCCGCGCTACGTCACCCTTCGTACGCAGACGTGGCAGAAGGGGACTCACTTCCCTTGAGAGAAAGCTCTATGGCAGTCTCTTAGATTTGAAGCGGACTGCACCGTTAGTGTACGACATCGTACTGACTGTCTAGCTGCTGTCTTCGAGAACGAGGAAGAAGAAGAAGTGATTTAAAGCACA